GAAACGTATAGATCCGTCGAGAACCGCATATCGAAAATTTGACCCGATTGTAATACTTTCCTTACCTAGTATAGGTAGGAAATTAAAAAATCTCGATAGAATTCATCATATTTCGGGCTTTTTCTGACACTGCCTCTTGGATAATATAATCATTAAGGGTTTAGTAAAAGTGGTTGATTCACATTAGTATTCTATGATTGAAATTTCAATCCATTTTAATAGGGTTATGGCAATTTTAAGTGTGAATAAGGCAAAATGTGGAAACAATCCAAGAAAATAAAACAAAGATTTCTTACAAACTTTTGGAAATGGAAAATCTGTATTTCAATAAAATTTAAATACATTTCGTTCGAACCGATTAAAATAAATGCCTTCTATATATAAGTCGCCATTACGGATTTTCTACCTGTTTAAAAATTCCTAGGCTGTATCGTCTGAAGGAAGTTATAATTTGGCTCAATTCACAGTAAAATGCCTTAAGTCCGTTGCGTCAGCCTTAATTCTTCCAGCCATGTAATGTTTATTAATGTCATTCGAAAATTAAAGTAACGAGCATGTTCCATTAGTCACTGTTCCTAGATTGTAACAAGTAGTTATGTTAATATAACTATGTGGAAATTTATTCGAATACGTAATACATAATCTTAATCTAGGATGTGAAGGTTCACGGTCGTCCCATGTATATAATTTTCTACACAGTAAATAATTTTGCTGAAAGGATTTTTCCTAACTATGGAAAGAAAATACCAATGATATATAAATTACAGTCGTATTCATAGAAATTGTATCATTTATTTATTTTGATTCCATTGAATGTTTTCTTTACTTATTTAGGTTACACGAAAACTTAAATAATGTTTCTCAGTTCATCGATTTTTTTAAGGGAAATATTATCGCCTATGGTACCACCAATCAACGATAGTCATAGCTTTGAAAAAAAAGAGAGAAAAAAGTACCATGAAGCGAAAGATAGGAACCGAGAGGAGAAAATAATTTACGAACAATTTTACCGCTTAATAGTTCCATTGTTTTTACTTTCTCTTACGTATATATGTAATATATAATAAGGGTAAGTATTGCGTTCGAGAAAAAAGTTTTAATCTGAGTTTTCAACGAAAATCCAAGTTTTGGGGTACCGTGAGTTCAAATAACCAAGTTCCGAAAAATGGTCTTTGTGTTAGCAGCTAGCTCAAAAACGAAAAGTCCTACGAATCTGATATTACGTATTTAAGATAGGTATATGCCTTCGATGTGACAATAACTTTTTCCTTAAAATCGGCGTACCGGAAGAGCCATGTTATTCAGACATACTATCAAACCTCTGTAGGCATATATGAGCCTTTCGGTTGACAGAATGACTAACTCCAATTTCAAAAAATTTTATTATTAATTTTATTGATGTTCCTAGTGGTAAAATTTATACCTTCACAGTTCTATATTTCAACACTGCAATCACCTACTCCGGAATCGACTTACTCACTTTTTGTATTGGTAACATTTTCAATTAGAAATATCGATAAAATGACATTACTAAAAAATGTTGAAATTGGAGTTAGTCATTCTGTCAACTGAAAGGCTCAGAGATTGAAGTTGTGTGGTTTATAAAAGCAGATGGACTGACTAGATTTTTATTGCCTACCGTCCATATAATATATAGACACTTTGTAATTATAATGATCTTAATGACTTGTTATCTGTAAGCTTTAAGCTTTAACTCCGTTTAAAAAATTTCATAATAGTCCAACATTGCCAGAAAATAATTTTGTTCAAAGAGAGCGGTAATTGAAAGTTGTGTGTTGCACGCACCAGATTTTTAGGATATCGTTTTAAAGCTGGCAAAGAAATATCCGGAGATCTTGCAGATTTTAATCTCGCTTAACCGTTTCACATATTAACGTATCTACATGAGGTACATAGGGAATTTAATGCTCTTTCGAATTGATTATAATGATTTTTTTTGAGAGATGAATAGATTTTGAGTTTTGGGGGGAAAACCGACGAAAAGAGATATTTCTTCTAAAATAAGCAAAGAGTCGACATTCTCTAACTCCTCACCGGTTGGACCTACATCAAAAAGCTATGTATAAAAGTTATAGTAAATTTTATCTTCTTTTACTTTCTATATCCCGATCCCCACATATATTATTACAGTAAGGCTCGAAATCTGTTTTGTATCAAATATAAGCTCCTGTCGTGCTCAAATACCACGAATGGGGTACCATTGGGTTCAGAATTTCGCATCCACACAACCTTACGTTAATTGCAGTGCTGTCATTGAATACATGTCTCATTTCGTCGACTTGAGGTCTCTATGATCGAGAGAGGGGGAGTTTATATTATTTATCGAAGATTTTTTTTGTCAGCAAGCCACGTCATCGTTAATTCTTCACCAAATCCCTTGGGATCTCAATCTTGATTGAGCCACCAATTTTGAAGGCTTCCTTCTGTTTCAGACGAGCATAATAATCCAATCGCCACGAAAATTCAGGCAAAAACTGATGACTTATAAGTAGATATTAAATAAGAAACAGTTGTCTGATAAAGAAATAATAAGATGACATCAGAGATATAGTGGATTACAGTGTAGTTAAAATATCAAGTATTATATATATAGAAGATACAAACAAAAATAGAAAATAAATGAATAAATTGTTTGTATCTTCTATATATACTAGTTAGCCCGTGCGAAAACTTCGCAGAAAATTTTGTTTATTGGAGAAATAGCAAAATAATATGGAAATAAGAATTCCTATGTGTTATGTAATTATGATCTTTCAAATTGCCATGGGCACAAGAAAAAAAAAACGCTGCAAATTATTTCATAATGGTTTATTATCTGCAACCAATTATACATCTAAAGTAACCTTACCTTCCGAGTTACAAAGAAAAAACAAAACAAAAGGTGATTCCAATTATTGGACTAAACTGTTTTTCTTTAATCATTAGTAATATGCTAAAAAAATAGCACTACTTCAGTAACACATTTAAAATTTAAAAACCAAACCAAGGATATAACATTTGGAGTAGAACATATTTAAAAAAACCTGAGACCATATATTTCCTCCGAATTGTCCGATTTTAACGATTTTTTTTAAAGTAAATTTCGTAAACTTTTAAAAACTATACAATATCAACAAAAAAGTAAAAACGAGAAAATGACTTTAACGAAGTTTCATTGAAATCTGTACATTATTTTAGGAGCTACAGTCTAAAACAACGCAGGTTTTTCGGCCGCCATTTTGAAGGTTAAAGGCTGCTAGTAATGTCGATGAAGGAGGATCATCCTCGGGTGACCTCTGATTTTATATCAAAATTTGAAAAAAAAATCGGTCCAGTAGTTTCGGAGAAAATGCGCGGACGGCGGGCGGACAAAAAAATTTGTATTCGTTTTTCGAATTCTACGCGTCTTGAAACGTGAAACCTCAAATTTTGAGAGCGGGTTACTACGGGCAAATAAAGTTTCTTTCCTTCCATAACTTTTTATCCAAAAATTCCGGGGACTATTTTTCACATGTGAAGGAGCAGAATATCTTCAAAATGAGTGGTCAATCATTGGATTTGACGAAGTTATGGCGTACCGAAAAAAAACAAACACATTTTAGAAATAATATATAGAATAATGCTTGATATTTTAACTACACTGTCACCCACTATATCTCTGATATCATTTTATTATTTCTTTATCAAACAACTGTTTCTTATTTAATATCTACTTATAATTCATTTATTTTATTTTTACTTGTACCTTTTATATTTTGTATCTATTGTAGCCATGATGAAGATAGGTTGAAACATCGGCGAAACAATTAAAAATACTATTTTTTTTTAAATTTAGTATTTATTTAACCGCACCCCTCGACCTACAGGCGGATCTACGGGGGGAGGGGGCTTTCGGGCTGAAGCCCCCCCTCCCAAAATGGTAAAATATAACCATGTTTTACAGAAAAAAAAATTAAAACCTATCTCTTAAAGTATTCTTGTTCGTGTAATTACATTTAATAGGATCTCAAGAACCACTTACACAATGTCATATAAGTAGTTAATTTCTTCTTTTTTTTCTAATTAATTATCATTATATGTATATGAAAAAATAATCTTCCCCCCAAAATTAAATCCTGGATCCGCTAGTGTCACTCATATCTCCGATTTCATCTTATTATTTCTTTATCAGACAACTGTTTCTTATTTAATATCTACTTATAATTCATTTATTTTATTTTCACCATCTACCTTTTATTTTATTTTCACTCACGCACATTTTATATGTTGTAGCCCTGATGAAGATCTGCAAGGTGGGTCGAAACGTCGGCGAAACAATTAAAAAATACTATTTTTTAAAATTTTAGTATTTATTTGACCGCACCCTCCGACCAATCCTTCTCAGTTAATTTTATTGATCAATCATCGTTACTGTTACTGCAAAAGGTGGCATGTAACAATTTTATATGTTTATTCTCTTTGGGCTAAAGGTGATATTTTGTATTCCGAAACTGCTATAATAGACTAGCAATTACTGACCATTTAATTTAAGGGAAGGAATTAAATCTAGTAACCATTTTGAATTCTAGATAAACCTCATCTGAACACATAACTTCGGTCAGTCAATTGAAAAAAGTTGCTTTCTTTGCGAAAAATTAATTTTAATGATTAATATATTAATTAAAATTTTACATTTTAAAATTATTTTAATTTTGAACTTGCGAAAAAGCGTATTTTTAATTGTTATTAAAAATACTATTTATTAAAAATTTATTATTTATTTAACCGCACCCCTCGACCAACTCCTTCTCATATTATATCATGGTCAACCATCTCTACATCATAATAAATTAACTTATAAAGATGATAAGCTGTTACGTAAAATAGCCGTTATTTTGAAATAACCGCTCTTTCATAATTGAACTGCTCCTTTATGTTCGTTAATATTCGGAATCGTTCGTGAATCCTCGGCATGTTAAATGTGTGGCCCCCAGACGCAGGTTCTACTGTTTTACAGATCTCTGCCTTCAGTTGATTGAGTATGGTTGTGAGGTGGAGTGCGGTCATGCCGGGCTAGCGAGTTCATGTTTGTTAACGTTAACGATCGTTTATTTCATAATCTTAAGTCGGTTCTAAGCGAGTGTGTCGAAATGTCAAGATGCCGCTACGGTGACTGCGAAACTTACAGCGGTTAAGAAACCTGTTTTTTAATAGTTTTATTCTAACCCCGGAGGGTTTCGAACTATTACAAAAACTAGAAGAACTACGAAAAAAGGCTCAAATGCTGCTGTTTCTTCTCAATGAGGGCGAAAAGTTTCCTAGTAGTGTTCACATGCATTGTCGCTACAACAATACTCATACTAACATTCGGTGATCAACACCCAAAAATTCAGAGCCTCGTCTCCGAAACACACCGGCAATTAAAAAATAATTTAAGGAATATTAAGGTAATAACAATAATATGAATTCAAGTGTTAATTCTTATCAAACTACTAATTTCATTTATATTTCAAATTGAAAGTTTATACATTTCATTAATAGGAATAGAGATCCTCTAATAATGGTTAGAAAGCTTATTTATGTTTTATTGTAGGATAAATTTGATGGCAAAGCTGATGTTAAGAAGCTTGAAGCCGATGAAAGATATTTGAGCCTGTTAGGTTTCGGCGAAAATGCAAGGCTTTATCCAGATGATATCTGGCATAATTCTTCTCTCCCAGTCATCGTGACTTACATCCTTCAAGGTGATACCGAACAAGGTGTCGGCCTAGCGAGGAATATCGCACATTTTCTTCCAAATCATACACTTCTTGTCTATTATTTCGGTCTTCCTGATCAAGATTATCAAGCAGTAAGTTCAACTTCTTTTTGTTTTTTTCCAAAAGTTTCATCTCGACATCATTGACCATTTTATCTTTTAATAATTTTCAGTTGGCTACGTATTGTAACAGTTCTAGATGTGTGCTTGTCAAGTTTGATCTAAGTGTTTTTCCTTCGCATGTTTCTGATGATAAAATTCATGCTTTTCGACCTCTAATCATTCAGGTATGTGATAAGGAATACATATTTATCTAACAGACGATTGTTTACTTAGATTATGAAATTTCACTTGTTCGTTGTGTCTCTTATATAATTTTTTTTTGTATAATAATACTATTATTTTAAAAATATTACTCAATGATGTCTTTAATGAATATAATTACTGGAAATTCCAGTTGCACATCCTTGTATCCTTTCATTAAGGTCAACTTGGAGGTTGTATATTAATTGATTCAAAATATTTATTCATTTAATTCAAACTATTTTAAAGTTTATTTTGACTAAACATCTTGTTTACTTTAAAATTTGTATTTTATTTTTTCAATACTATTTCTTCACAAATATATATAAATTTATTTATAATAACATAAGTAAATTGAATTGAATTCATAAAACAAGATGAATTATGAATGAATTATTTAAGTATATAACAATAAGAATCTATTTACACATGTATATTAATTTATATATTCATTCATGCATATTAATGTACAGCAATTACATATATAATTAATGTTAAAGTGGTTTTAAAAAAATATATAATTACCAATATGTTTTTAAGGTAAATACTAATACTTTTTTTATTGTTGTTTTAAATAGCATTAGTGGTTTTCTATTTTTTAACAATAACTATTTCTAGACAACCTTGGCACATAAGCAGTTTTCAATTTGTTCACGGCTATCTTCGGATCCTTATAAGATGTGAATTCTTCAATTGTCCTTATGCGAAAAAATCAATTAGATTAATCATAAAAACATATAAATTTATAAATGAAAAATGATAAAAAAAAATCCTTGATTATTTATAGGAATTTTTAATTTAAATATTAAACTTAATTTTGTTTTAGATTTATAGCAGAAATTAACTAGTGCTATAAATTGATCCATTTCTATGTTTTAGTACTTTTCATTAATCTATTGTAAATATATATTAGAGAGTTAAGCTATTGATTTTTAAAATAAATCTACCGTGGCATGTTAAGTTGGCATTTGTTCAATCATGCACCAGACAGGTAGGTCGCTCGGTTTAGGATTGATTCATTCATCATTGGACCTCCTGACTAATGCTCATTTTCATCTTACTTAATGTTTTATTGTTTATCAGATGATTTAATTAATTTTTATTTCTTAAATTTTAGGCTATTTCGGGTCTATGAAATAAATCAAATAATATTTTAAAAAAAAAATTAAGTTGTTATTTTAAAAACTTTGAAATTTAAGAAACAGAGCTCACAATTATTTTTATACGTCATACTTTAATTGATACATAACCAATTAAATTAACATTTTGAATTTCTATTATCATCTTTTTCAAGGTCTCTGACTGCATCTTTTAATAAGAATAATAGCGTAAACTATCATTTTATTAACAATACAATTTCGAACTGAAGATAATCACCGATAAAGAAATTAAATAAAATTAAATGAAGAAAATAAAAAGGTGTTGATAATACGGTTTTATTGAATGTATGTATACATGTACTTACATACATGGTCAGAAATTCATTCTATCAATGGAAAATCAGGATACTTTGTAAATTATTGGAATTTGGATTTATTTATTTTTTTAATAGACACTCCATTTTTTTATTTTCCAATATCTCTTCACGTCCTAAACAGATGCTCTGCAATCATAAAATTATATTTTATGAATGTATTTTGATAGAAGTAAATAGTTGTTAATATTTAACTTCAAGAATTAGCTCATAGTGTTTCTGTCTTTCTTTCTTTTTTTTTTCTTCTATTCTTTTTGTTTTCTCATTTCAGTTATATTTATTCTTAAGAAGATTTTATTTATTGTTGTTTAAACATTTTTAATGAAGATAATTTATCTATTTCTTGAATCCGTGTTAATATTGTTTTTGGCCAGATATGGTTTATATTTAGTCGTACATGCTTGTTATACTTAAGAGATGTCCCAGGATAAAGTATGGTTTGTTAACCTTATTACCATTGTAACTTGAAATAAATCTCATATAGGCAAAAATGTATATAATTATTAAATAGTACTTTAAATAAATTAAAAGAATTCCATAATATTAATAATTAATGAACAGGAAAAAAAAAAAAATGTTTATGTTAAGACATTTCATAAATATTTCTATTCGGGTAATATTTTAATTATCTTTTACAAGATTAATTTTATCTACCTAAGAAATAATCTTATCAATTAATCTTGCATCGATTCATTTTATTTATTTTCTTATTTTACTGGATTAGGATTTATTTTTGGACGATGATTTCATTAGTATTGTATGAAAAAAGTATACATAACTTTTTTATTTGCTGTTATTTAATATCACTTTGAGTTCCATAGCCAATAGCAACGACCGTTATTCTTAAATATAATGAGTTAATTTTATGTTCTTGAGCGTTGTTTCAATATCACTGTTTTCAGTGTATGGAGCTATGTCTTCAATTTTGAATATTATTTGTTATTTTCAGTATTTTTTATACTGGAATAGGTGTAGTACAATGATATGTGTACATTGTCTTTATGTATAATCAGGGTGGCGACCGACCTGGATGAACGGTAAAAATCTGGGAATTTTCAAAACCAGAGAAAATTCAGAAAGAAGTTGGGAAAAAATTGTTAAAGTCATTGATTTTTTTCAAATTGGAAAAAAATATACAGTGGATATTGTTTAGATATCGCCTTGATCGAGATCTAACTGTTGCTATAACGATAATTTTTAAGTAACAACAAACAGCCATAATAAGAAATAAGAGGACACGTACAAAGTACAGAAATAAAAATAAAGATAGCCAGATGTTGGTTAGTGCATGAATGAATATGAAAAGATGTGTAACACCAAAAAATAGTTTTAAAAAATGTGACAAATATCTGATTTTTTGACGAATGGTGCCACATCAAAAAAAGAAAGTAAAGATAAAGATTGCTCTGATGATGGGAAAATTGTCCCAAAACGTAAGAGACAACAAATGTAATTAAAAGAATTTGATGAAAATTGGAAGTATTATTGCCTTAAATATGAAAAGATGGAAGAATTAATTTTTTTTAAATTCAATACTTGACGGTTGACCGTTATATATTATTTATTATTTAGAGATAGTCTGGGATGGCAGTCATAAAAAGACTTAAAATAATGAAAAAAATGATATAGGTTTTTCACTATTTTAGGTCTTTTTATGAGCATCATCACGGACCATCTCCTTCCTCATTTTTTTTAAAAGTTGATAAACCTTAATAATATTACTTATGTAATTTGAATATAATTTCAGTTCTGTAAAAATTTTGGTTTTGGAGCTAAACTGTTCACTAAAACACAGATAACCAAGAACAACTCTAATTACAACAGTCAATACAGTCTCTATAGAGGACTTTGTTCGGAAAACTAAGATCAAAACTAAATGAAATAAAGGGACACTGCTTCACATCGAGCAACTCAAATAGACTTCCCAGGATGGAAGAAACTGTCCTCTGCTGGTTAAAGGATTGGGAACGGGAAATTTTCACATGTTACTTATTAAGAGGACTTGATCATCCAATCTGTAAAATTTGTAATGTCCCATGAACATTGTATGAGAACATGTGAAACAAGACTGTCCCATATTTGCACTGACAAGGGAAAAAAATTAGACAAGCCAATAACACTGAAAAGGGTATAGAAAGGAGCCTAAGCTTGTGGAAAGAGTGGAGAATAAGAAAAAAACAATAAATTACATGCATACAGTGGATATTGTTTAGATGTCGTCTTGATCGAGATCTAACTGTTGCTATAACGATAATTTTTTTCTAAATAACTAAAGGTGCGTTTAGACATTTCATAAACGATGGGAATAATAATTTACTAAGCTAATAATTTTTTTTCTTGCTTTTGATATTTTGCATCTGCTGTTGGTATCCAGAGAAATAAAGTAAATAATTTGATTTAACAATAATGTCACTTTCTATTAGTTTATGAAAATAAAATAAAGGAGATAAAACTAAATGACTAAAAGTAAAAGTTTAGTTTTCAAAATAAATAAAAGATCCTAATGGACCCTTTAAAACATTATATTTGTTATTTAGAAGACTGAAAGTTTTTTACTCAACTCGTTTTGTAGGCAACCTTCATTCATCTATTATAAATAAATTTAATTATAATAGTGGATTAATATTCAACTGTCGTATATATATATTGAAGAGAAGTTAGTTAAAAATTACACATTATTAATATTTATAATTGGTAATTGGTTGACTGTCGTGGATAATGAAGAGAAGAATAGTTGGGGTGCTCAGTCAAAAAAGGAAGGCAAAAAATAAATTATATTTATTTTTTACATATGCCGACGTTTCGACCTGAAGTTCAGGCCTTCATCAGGGCTAAGAAAATAACCAGATAACAAGGTATGAGAAACATAAGTAATGATGGTAAAAAAGATAATAAAAAATGAGAAAATAAAATAAATAAAAAATTATTAGAAAAATAAAATAGATAGATATAAAGTAAAATGAAATTGTTAGAATAATGACTAAGAACTAAGAGATAAATAATAAAAACTGTTACATAGTGTGGAATGATGAAGTAGGCATAATCAAAAAGGGATGACAAAAGTGTTACATTGGGAATCTTAGAATAAAATGTAAAAACATAAAAAAGAAATGTAAAGTTATATAAGAAATGAAAATAAAATAAATAGTAAAATTAAAACATTGAGAATGGAGTAGTTAGATAGAAAATTGAGATATTGTAAAGTCTATCAAGATGTACAGACAATGTATAATATAATAAAGAGTTAACAACAGAGAAAAGGAATGAAAGGAAGGAGGGAAGAAATTGAGAAAGCTGAAATAAGAAAGAAATAAAAGAAGTACTACCTTTCTCCTTAAGTGTCAAGGGGAGAATAAAGTCGTTACAATGGATGGGGAGAGAGAAGAGATGTGAAGGTGGCGTCATCTCTAACGGTTATCAGACGAAGTTTGAACTAAACGCTAGAAGCCTAAATAGGTACGAGAGATATATTATTTAGAAAAATTATGGAATATTGAACGAAAGTTAATAGAAAGTGAAAGAAAAATTCAAAAGAAAAATAACTATTGAGTAATAAGGAAGAAAAATTGAAATAAAAATATCATATATACATAAATATACATATATATATATACACACATATACATACATATGTACGTGCAACTATTCTTCTCTTCTTTATTAATATTTGTGTCTCCAGACATATTGGATAGGGAAAACTATCATTAAATAGGAAAACGTCAGGGAATTTCACTTTAAACTTTCTCGTAGCCACTTTGATATTTTTGTCGATGAAGTCCTAGAAGCAGGTAGAGATGGGTTAGCTTGGTTTGTTCAATGCAAAAAAATCGTGTTCAAGCCTGCTAATTATGGAACGTTTCTTTGATGTATGTGAGGTTTCTCGAAGGTAGCCAAGCACGATTGTCCTCTTTACACAGGTTGAGGTGAATGAATTGCAGTAATTTTTATGTTTATTCCAATATTTCTTCATCTTGCATGTAGTAATTTTTCATGTCTACTCGTTAAAAAATGTCATTACTGAATAAGGTAAATCAGAGCTTCTGACTGCTTCTCTTGCTCCTTCGATAATTTTTTCATTGTCACTTATATGTGAACGGACCCATAATCTTTCCAGAATAAGGAAAGAAAAAATGTACATATATTTGAAAGATTTATCCTATATATTATTTCTAAAAGGTGTTTTTTTGTTGGTACGCCATAACTTCGTCAATTCTTCATCAAATTTAATGATTGACCACTCATTTTGAAGATATTCTTCTCCTTCACGTGCAAAAAATAGTCCCACCTCCCCGAAATTTCTGGAAAAAAGTTATGGAGGAAAAGAAATAACTCAAAAAGCATGTATTTTTTTCTGAATTGTAGTTATGATAATTAGAAAGATTACTAAATTACCTACAAATCAAAAAAAAAAAAAAATCATAAAAATCGGACAATTATTAACAAAGATACAGCCCATTAGTTCTGGTAAACTTAATAATGTTTTCTTGTTTAAAGATATTGCATTTAGGAGTAGAATAGTGTACTAATTTTTTTTTCCTGGCTTTTATATTAACTTTATTATTTTTTTTAAAGACATTTGGTTGTTCTTACATTTTATTTTATTTAATAATTTAGAATATCCTATGATGAGTGCATTATTTTGTCTTTATATAATAAAAGTAATCTTTCCAGTCAGTGTTTAAAAATAGGTCCTAGCAAAGCAATTTGTACAAATATTTTGGTCTATTATGTTTAATGGAATATTGTAATAGACCGAGGAAAAAATATTAATTCCTTCCTTACATAATACATAGGAACTACTTATTTCCATATTGTTTTACTATTTCTTCACTAAACAAAATTTTCGCACGGGCCAACTAGTAATTCATATTATTATTCACTTTTATAATTTCTTTCCTTTTTCTTTATTTGTTATTTAAGGTTGATTTACTGTGTTATATACGAACCGATGTGCTCTAATCACCTTCTTCCATCTCTCAAGAAGCATCTTATACCCTTTTTCCGAAATTGGTCAGACTTGCTTGCAAAATATTCATCGAGATACTTTTTTATTTTGTTTTTGAATTTGTACATTTATCACTGTGAGAGTTTTATAAAAAATAAACAATAATAATTGGATGTAGCAAGGTCTGGGGAGTACGGAGGATGAGGTATAAAGTCCCAATCAAATTGTAAGAGTTTCTGTATTTAAGCTAAAGAAACGTACGGTATTGGACTAAAAAGCATCTCGATGAGAATATTTTGCAAATAAGCCTGAAAAAATTTGGAAAAAGGGTATAAGAGGCTTCTTAAGAGATGGAAGAAGGTAATTGAGGTGATTGGTTGATATATGACACAGTAAATCAGCATTAAACAACAAATAAAGAAAAAGGAAAGAACTTATATGACATCCTAATATTTATAATTATTTATGTGTCATAAATAATTTATGTTTCAATGAAGTTAATGATGGGGTTATACGAATGGAGATTGCTAAGGAATTCCAAAATGAGGTAGCAAACGAGGTAAAAGATATTTTGAGGAAAGGATGGATGCAGTTCTATGAAAAGAAAGCTTAAGAGAGTAGGATGATTAAATTGAGAATGTAACGAGGAATTTTGATTCTATGAGATTGGAAAAGACAAACACCTTTAGACAAAAGTTTAATTGTCATAAATTAGGCAAAAGCTATCCTTTAATTTAGCATAACAACTGCAAATGTGGTAGTGCCTGTTGACATCAAAGATAAATCTAATGAAATAATTCATTAGTTTCGAAACTTATCTTATTAAACTCTATTATTGTATTTTAATAATTCAAATTTTTTTTTTTTTAACAACTGCCCTCCGCACAGATAGCCTCCGTACAGATAGGCTGTACGGGGTTTTCCTGGGCCACGGGGTTGAGGGCAGAGGATTAATGCCAGAGTCTAAAACCCCACTGGCTCCGGGACGTGAACTCTTACTTGTTTTATTCCATATAACTTTGGTTATCAGTCCATATAACTCAGGTTGCCGAGCAACGCGCTCAACCGTCCCTCTACAAGAGTGATCTGTCGGCAGCAACATCTCTTCATCTTGTACTAGCTCCCAGCTGTCATAGTTCTGCCTCTTTATCGTCCACATCTTCATGTACCTCCTGGATTTCTGTAGATTAATTGTGTTATGAGTATATCGCTCTCTACATACTCCATGTGACAATCTTCTCATCCTTCCATTTTTAATTATGACCACAATATTGGGCTGGTCATATAATGCCCTTTTTAACTTGATCGTTTGTGTCCCTCAGAAGGGTTATTACGTCATTTAAAGTAATTTCTGCAGCCATTTTCACATAAAAGAATTAAATTAAATTGAGAAAATCACAATATAACAAATGAATAAAGTGTAACAAAAGAATTAAAACTTTCGAAATTAATTTAAATTAAGTGGTCAACAGTTTATTCATTTATCACACAGCTGTAGACTGATAATAGATAAGTACCTTAAACTATATGGTAAGTACCTATATGGTAAGTGATAAGTACCTGAACTTGACGATATGGGTGATGTGGTGGGGAGCTGCCAGATTCAGCCGGAAATATAGATAAGCGATGCCTGTCCTGATATTTGTCGGATATTGCTACTGTAATTGTAAAACTATCTATATCACTATTGTCACCAAATTTTACTAACCACTTCAGTAACACTTTATCTTTAACTGTGCAAAAAATCGTCGACGTAGATGTAGACTTTCTAAACGTAAAACTAAGTAGCACAGAGACGATGTTGCTAAGTCAACGGTCCAGACCGAAATGCATGTAATTCATTGTTTTTTTTTTATTCTCCACTCTTTCCACGAGCTTAGGCTCCTTTCTATACCCTTTTCAGTGTTATTGGCTTGTCTAATTTTTTTCTCTTGTCGGTGCAAATATGGGACAGTCTTGTTTCACATGTTCTCATACAATGTTCATGGGACATTACAAATTTTACAGATTGGATGATCAAGTCCTCCTAATAAGTAACATGTGAAAATTTCCCGTGCCCAATCCTTTAACCAGCAGAGGACAGTTTCTTCCATCCTGGAAAGTCTATTTGAGTTGCTCGATGTGAAGCAGTGTCCCTTTATCTCATTTAGTTTTGATCTTTGTTTTCCGAACAAAGTCCTCTATAGAGACTGTATTGACTGTTGTAATTAAAGTTGTTCTTGGTTATCTGTGTTTTAGTGAACAGTTTAACTCCAAAACCAAAAGTTCTACAGAACTGAAATTATATTCAAATTACAAAAGTAATATTATTAAGGTTTATCAACTTTTAAAAAAAATGAGGAAGGAGATAGTCCGCGATCACACTCATAAAAAGACCTAAAATAGTGAAAAATCTATATCATTTTTTCATTATTTTAAGTCTTTTTATGACTGCCATCCCAGACTATCTCTAAATAATAACTAATATATAACAGTCAACCATCAAGTATTCAATGTTAAAAAAAATTAATTCTTCCATTTTTTCATATTTAAGGCAATAATACTTCCAATTTTCATCAAATTCTTTTAATTACATTTGTTGTCTTTTACGTTTCGGGACAATTTTTCCATCATCAGAGCAATCTTTATCTTCACTTTATTTTTTTTGATGTGGCACCATTTGTCAAAAATCAAATATTTGTCACATTTTTTTAAAACTATTTTTTGGTGTTACACATCTTTACGTATTCATTGATACACTAACCAACATCAGGCTATCTTTAGTTTTATTTCTGTACTTTGTACCTGTCCTCTTATTTCTTATTATGGCTGTTTGTTGTGGTTTTTTTTTGCTATTGTTGTTTTTTGAATTTCAATATTGGATATTATGTCCGAATAAATGTTTTGTATCTGTTTTATAGTTTAGTGTTCTATTATTGTTTTTTGTTATATGTATAGCTTCCAGAAGTTTCCTAATATTTGTTTTAGGTTCTATTGCTAGTATTTCTGGGTTTTTTAAGTCAAAAGTGTGTAGTGATTGAATACTATGCTTTGCTAGTGCTGTTATGTTAATGTTTTTACTATGTTTGCAGTTTGATGTATGTTGCGCTATTCTGGTTTTTAGTTTTTTTGAATAAATAATATATAATAGTCAACCATCAAGTATTCAATTTAAAAAAAATTAATTCTTCCGAATGTTGGATGGTAAGGTAAAAGAAGACACCAAATTTTTCTTCAAATAATTTTAACTTTTGTTTTTTTATCTTGCTTTCTTTGATCATTGAAATAATTTAAATAAATGTTCTTCAGGATGCCTTGAGCAGGGCCGGAGCCGTCCTGTACCTGGACAGCGACCAAAGAGTCGTCACTTCTCGTCTGGAACCACTCCTCGCTAAAACGCGGGCTTCGTCTCTCGTAACATGGAGGACCAAAAAGCCTGTCACAGCACTCACTCATCCGAGGATGTTCAAATACTTCTCGGCGAAGATGGATTCGTTTTATTTTCTACCTATGGTCGAAGTCGCTCGTCTTCTCGTTTTCAATACCGGATCCGTCCACGCTCATATCATGTTGCCTTGGGTTCAATGTGCCCTGACGCATGATTGCATTCTGCCCATAGGTAATATCATTAATGTTATTATTTATTTTTTGTTTTATTCATTAAATGTTCAGGTAGTCTACTGGACATGGAAAAACAAAGAAATTTTATGAAAAAACTCAGAAATAAAGGAATTTTACTAGAGAGTGTGAGCACAAATTTACTGTTATAATTTAGAATCATTTTCAGTCACAAATAGATAAAAAATAGGAAATTTTAAAATGTTTGGTACAAAGTAACAAGTTGACTTATTTGTCTAGGAATATTGTCTGGGAACTCACAATTTTTTTAATTTTATCAACAGCGTGAAAAAAATTTAGAGTTTTTTTTAAGGCATTCCTTTATTTTATTTATTTTTTATTGATTAGTAAAGGTATTCACCATTTTTATCTAATTAAAATGAGTGGAAATAAAATTATTTCTGAAAATATACTACGGAGATCATCACTCGAGATTGACGAGATTCTTCAGCAAGCTGTTGGATCAAATCAATCCACAATTACTCGTGATCTTGCCAAGGAGCGTGCAGTGTCAAAGACACTGTGTGTCGCGATCTACATGCCTTGGGTAAGTTAAAAGGAACAGTACTATATGAGCTTATGACTACATAGCTGCATACTTACCGACAAACACCACGAATTTTAAAAATCTCAATGGTAACGAACTTCTTCCTCACCCACCATGCAATCCGGACTTTGCTCCATCAGATTTTTATCTGTTTCAATCCATGGTCCGCTTCTTGAAAGAAAAAAAAAAAAAAATTAACTTAAGTCGAAACTCCGGTTCAGAATTTTTTCAGTTAGAGTGGGACCTGCATGGGATCAAGCAACTGACCAAATGCTGGAAAACGGCAGTGCACCACAATAGGTTATATTTTGCATATTAATTTTCTTTTAATCAGCTTATTAAATTGATCCTTTTATAATTTACTCTCATATCATTGTAGTGGAATAGTTTTGTTTACTTCTTCTTTGTCTTCCTCACAATGCTATTTCTAGCGTCGAGAAGCCTCTATCCAGCGCAGCCACCCTTCCCGGTCTCTACTTAACCGCTTCATTTGCTTGAAGGATTTGCCTCTTCTACCTCCGATCCTATCCATGAACTCCTGATATGAGACTCTAGGATTCTCTCGTGGTCTCTTCCCTTTGGGTCGAGCCTCTAATATCTTTATAGAGTCCATGTTCTCATTCATGAGGCAGACATGTCCAAACCACTGGAGTTGCCTGTTCTCCAAAGTGATTTTGAGTTGAGGTACTTCCAGCTGTTTTGTTTCTAATGCGATCCCTCTTAGTTTTTCCCACCGATGTAAGGTTTGTTTACAATAATAGAAAAAACTTGGAATTGAACATTATAGCTAAAATTGGCTTATTTAGGGCAAAATTTAGGTAAGTTTTGGAGGGCAATATATGACTGACCTGACAACGCTGAAAAGATGTTATCAAAAGGCAATTGTAATCTTGATTTATTTGCCTTAGTTATTTGATTGGTTCAATAGTGAATAGACAGAAATTATTCATCTTATCCTTTATTCCTTATTGACAGTTTGTAATACTTCTCGTGAAGAATTCAATTGAACAAAATGCAATATTCAATCTCCTGTCACCTTTTGTGGCTGAAAGGAAATCAATAATATTTTACTTGGTCGTCGTATACTTATAGCCATTGTCAGTACTAGTTTCATTTATTGTCAGCCTTTGTGAAGTGAACTTAAGATCCTATAGCGTCCTATCAATATGAAACTTGACTGGTATTCTTAGCAATTAGGATAGGTATTGTATTAAATTATTTGTATTTATCTCATAACTGTTTCTTTTCTGGCTGTGTAGTTTTTTTCACAGTATCTGATAGCTGTAAAGCTTGGTAGGAATCAGTTGATATAAAACTAATGTCAACTGATACTATAACAAAAAAATCTGGTGGAGTGCGCACATCACACAACTTTCACTTACCACCCTCTTATCTGAAATAAGTATTTTCAGACAAAGGGGAAGTGGTAGTAAAAATTATAAACTGTTTCCCAGTAATTTCGGGGTGATGGTTTGAAAGCCGAGAAAAGAACTGTGCCGGCTAACAAATTAAACAAATTTTGACGGAAATTCCTGACAAATTTGTTACATCCTTCTAATTGATTAGTCGACTACTCGCCCATCTTTAAAGAAAAATATATCTTCCCATTATTGCTTATCCACTCTCCAGTGGAATTAAAACTATTCTTAGACCATAAATTTTAAAAGAAAAAACTGAATAGCTCATTGATTGGCTTTAGTGTGTCTTTTAAAGTTTTTTTTTTGTTATTTATTTAATGAAATTTATAACTGTATAAAAAATACAACCAGTAAAAATGCACACATTAGAAATAATGACTTGAAGAGATAGCCCAGCGATAGCACTCCCCATTTAATTCTAGGTGAGAAGATCACGAGGCCATCTTCTTTTCAGAAGCCTGGGGGTATTATCAGGAATCGAGGAAGAAACAAGGCTGGAAACAAGTGGATTTGGATGGGACTGGAGTTTATCGTGAAAGGATAGGTATCTGGCTCGGGCTAAATCAGTGGCAAAGGTCTTTATGAATGGTTTTATTTGTGACAAAATATGGGGCATTAATGATTTTATGAAGGATTTTGGATTGTAAGGATTGGATACGATAGGAATCCGATGGTTTGGTAGAGCGCCAAAGCTCAACTCCGTATGTCCATATAGATCTTATTACAGTTAAGTAGATGAGTCTTTTGTAATTAATTGAAAGTTTAGAGCGTTTGTCAAGTAAGTGTTGGAGCAGTCGGAAACGTCGAGCGGTTTCTTGTCGTTTCCAATTGAGACGTTTATCCAAGTGGAGTCCTAGATAGCGGATTTCTTCAGCAAGAACAAGTGGAATATCATTGAAAGATATTTTAGGACAAGAAGTCGTTGGTTTATGACAAAGGGTAAAGGTAATTGGATGGGATGTATTGGAATTTATTGTTATCCTCCAACGTTTGTGATATGTGGTTGGAGGGTTCGGGATGCAATTAAAGGGTCATTATTAACAGATTGGATACAAGTGTCAGCTGTATAAGGGAAAGGACCGAGGATGCTCCCTTGAGGAAATCCAGCAGACTGGGAAAAGAGGGATGAACATGCATTATTATGATTTGCTTTGAAGTATCGATCAGTAAGGTATGAACGGATAATGAGGAAGTATGTAAGTGGTAGGAATTTTCGGAGTTTGTACAGCAGACTCTATCAAACTCCTATTCAACGTCGAGAAAGACTCCCATACAGTACATTTTGTGCTCCAATGCATCTTTTAAAGGTATGTAATGAATTTTCGAATGAAGGACTCGACAGATTTTTTCTAATAAAATTACTTAGCCAGATCCTTAAGTATTAGAAACAATCAGAGCTCAAAATATCATATATTATTGTACTAAGTGTCTTTACTGAGTCCAATGAGAAAAAAAAGGTATGTGACCTTTATTTTGACAAACAGCTTTATGTTGAATGTTTTGAAAATATGAAAAATAAAGACATGTCAGGCATGGAAAAAGACAGTACTCGGCAGCACCTCTTCCCTGACTAGTTTCAATTAGGTTGTTTAAGGAAGGAGATCTCTCATCCAACTCCTTTTTAGTCTCCTCCTCATGTTCAGGGGTATCAGCTGTGGCCATGTCTCTTATTTATCTTTTGTTAGGTCCGTTTAAATTTGCATAAAATCGAGTTAAGAGTCAAAATTAGTAAAGGATCATTATATGTTGGTCAAATCTTGCAAGGTGGTCAGTATATAGAGTTTTTAGCCATGTACGAAGGGGCTTTTGCTATGAGTTGCAATTATTTCTATTGGAAGATTTTGTTGGTGGTTCTTTTTGACGATGCCATATATCTGTGATAAGTATGTCCATTTGGAATTAAATATCCGACTGCTCCAACACTTATTAGACAAACACTCCAAACTTTCTATTAATTACAAAAGACTATAATAAGACTACATAACATACTTCAATACTACATAACTATAATAAGATAAAATGGACATACGGAGTTGAGCTTTGGGGCTCCACCAAACCATCGAATTCCTATCGTATCCAATCCTTACAATCCAAAATCCTCCGTAAAATTCTTAATGCTCCATACTTTTTCACAAATAAAACCATTCATAAAGACCTTAATGTACCATATGTTGCTGATTTAGCTCGAGCCAGATATCTATCCTTTCTTGATAAATTTCAGTCCCATCCAAATCCGCTTGTTTCCACTCTTGCTTCTTTCTCGATTCCTGATAATCCTCCTAAGCGTCTGAAAAGGAGATGGCCTCGTGATCTCTCGTGATCTTACTTAAAATTATTTAGTGAGTGCTACCACTGGGTAGTAACTCTTCAAGCCTGTACATGCCATTATTTATATTTGCGCATATTTACTTGTTGTATTTGTATACAGTTGTAAATTCCATTAAATAAACAAAAAAAAAAAAAAAGGACTTAAGTAAGTATGTAAATATATTCAGTTTCAGTTTTGAAGATTTGGAAAAATAGGATAAAATAGTTTGAGTCTGTAGATAAGCGTCGTATGTTTCATTTTTATATGTGGATCCCATGTATATATCACATCATCGGCTAGGTTTCTATTAATAAGAGAGGAGGAGTTTATATATTATTTCTCAAAGGTGTATGGCGGATTTGGTATTAATTTTTATTAATAAAAAAAAAAAAGCTGTACCACTACAACCCATGAAGGGTCTTGGGTTCAGTACTATTCAGGGAAAGCACTGTTTCTTGGTCTACGGTTGAGTAAGGAGGTGATTTGACAGAGATCACGCTCAACCGCCAGGTTGTTCACCTTAAGCAATTATTTTAATTTAGGGAACTCACTTTATATAGAGGCTGGGTGTGCTTCAGGAGGGCCTACCGACCCAGGGTCGCCCCACCGCTGATGAAACAGAATAAATCTCCTTCCTTAATAATACAACGGTCAACTATTAAGTATTCAAATAACTCATTAAGTCTTATGTTTTACAGAGAAAAAAGTCACTATCTGGTACTAATGATCTCTTGTTCTCTAAATAATGTTAAAATAGATCACCGAAGATCACTATTTGGTACTTAGTGACTTCTTTCCCTGGATCAGATGGTTAATAAAACTAACTAACTGAGATAAGTCTAACTCACATTTTATCTACATGCAAGATTATAAAAGAAGTTAGTGGTTTTTTAACTATAATAGTGTACAAAAAGTCACTAGGTGCTTCATGTTTTTAATTAATTGGCAAAAATATAATACGTATTTAGAATTAAAAATACCAAAAAATAAATAATCAAATTGCTATTTTAGTATTTTTTTAGTGAATCAGAAAGTTCAGATTCGATTATCTCAAATTCATTAAAATGTTACTTAGTGACATTTTGCAATAAACCGACGACATATTTTATTTATTGTTTATGCACTACAATACACGTATTTGGATATTAAATAATCAGCTGTTTGTAATTTTATCTGTATTTGTTTCAGGTGCACAGTCCGGTGGCTGCAGGTTTGATAAAAAACCGTACTACCGATATTCCGGTTGCCACAGTTACGATGCATCAGCCCTCAACATAGTTCTCGGGCTCCATTTTAAGTTCGATGCCGATCAGTATGCGCTATGGGAGGAAGAAGTCTATTTCAAAAAGGCGGCTGACCTTCTTTCCGCTGACAACACGACAGATCTCTCCCCTTTGTGAAAAAAAAAAAGACCCAAAGCTTACGGGATAATGTGTTAATACGTTTGTAAATGTTATCGATTACTGTTTTAAAAAACTTGCCCGTATTATGTTACCTGATTATAGAATCTAGATTTTTTTTTTTTTGTTGTTTCGTTTGCATGATTCATATAATTTTTGTTTATTTGTCACTTGCTATTTATTTTAGATAGTTATATAATTATGTTTCCTGCCAATAAATTTTTGTTTTTTATTTGAGTTAAGTAAAATTAAATTATAGACTTTATTGTTATCCAATTCAACATTTTTTATTTTATAATGAAAAAATTAAGAAAAAAAAAAAGAAGTTATTTTGAGTAGTTAAACTACCCTTAAGTTAATAGTATTTTTTAATTTAACATAAAATTATTTTGCATATATATATTTAATAGGCATGTCAGGAGAATTTTGTGTTCCTCTCATGATTACAATTAAGATATCAAATAATTGTTATTAAAAGTATTCTTTTAATTTTTTTTTCAATTATTAATTGATCGTTTTATTTTTCATCTTCATTGCACTGCTAGGCATCGAGTATAAATGTTATTAATAAAATTTGTAATATATATATATATATACCGAAAACTCTTGTAAGAGTATAAAACGAAACGACACAAAATCATATTAGGTTATAATTTTTTATCAAGGATAAGTTAATTGCGGTCAGTAACTATTGTCGATTTCTCTAAATAATAGTTTCAAAAGTTATAAAAAGATATATATACATAATGCTGTTATCTTGTGCTACATATATATCGTTACTGTTAGTGCAAAAGGCATGTGTAACAATTTTACATGTATATTCTCTTTGCGCTAAAGGTGACATTTTGTAGTCTGCAACTGCTGTAAGTAGTTTGCTAAATAGGTACATAGTAAAGGAGATAAATAATTAAGAAACAGTCATTTTGAGAATTTTTATTGTTGCCGGTGTTTCAACGCAAATCTGTGGATCATCATGTTCATTGTTTCATGTTATCATGTTTGTGTTAAAATGTCAAAATGATTGCTCCCTGATTATTTGTCTTCTGTGATATGCAATACAGTCGACTAACTTCCTTCGAAAATAGCATAGGGAAATAAAATATGAAATTACACCCATAAATCATCAAGAAATAATCGGTTTTTATGCTCTTCTGTAAACAAACTCATTTTTTATATACGACCTTTTCCACTAACAGCAGTAATATATCTTCTGTTTTGTCAGCTTTAGCTTCAAGTCGTATTATCGAGGTTTTATCTGCTGTTAACAACGAATCATTGAAGTTGTTACAATTTTATTGATATTTTTTGCATTATGGTATTTTTATACTATCATCGAACAGAAGTAGACAATAGGAATAATACAACAATACACTTTAACTCATGTTTTAAACATTTGTTTTTATTTATTCAGATGTTGTTATATACAGTGGACTCTCGCTAATCTAAACTAATTAAAAACAAGGGGGTTCAGATTAGCAAAAGATTCATATTATGGAACGGTCATTTCATAAATTACAAATCAAATTAAAAACAAATATTATAAATGCATTTGCATAAATATAGTTTTACAATAATTAATCATTGTTCAAAAATTTATTTTAAATTATTTTCTTGGGAAGAATAACCCAAGGTGGTGGATAATATTGAAAATCTAATAAAACATATTTTAGAATACAATTTTTTTGTGTTTGTACATTCATAATTTCTTTATGAAAATCATCGTAAATTTTTTTTCAAAAGCGTAAACTACCGTTGTATTAACAATACAATTTTGAACTGAAGATTAAACTAATGAAGAGGTTATTCATATTTGCTGATAAAGAAATTGAGAAAATTAATACGCTTCCAATTTTTATTATGTATATAGCTTGGATTTTATTTTCAATAAAAAGACTTGTTATTTTTTTTATTTATTATAGCCTCAGAATTAAGGTTTTCTTTTTTAAATTTATGTATATATGTACTACATACATATCATCAAATCTTCAATTTCATTGGTTGGATTATGAAATGGTTTGGATTAGTGCCAGTCCACTGAAATGAAAAATCAAAATTATTTGTAGAGCTTTTAATGCACTATTACAATTCCGGAACTCTCCTATACACATTAAGGTTAATTTATTTCAATTAATTACTTTTGCAGTCTTATATTCATTTATCAAATTATGGCATTTTATTATTTCCTTTAAAGAGAAGGATGTTTGGCGTGATCAGTCAAAATAAAAAAATAGTCTACATTTCACCTTTTTAATTTTAATTCTTTATTGTTTAATGTTTCTAGATTCTCATACCTATTGTATCTGGTTCTTTTCTCAGCCCTGATGAAGGCCTGAAACTTCAGCAAATGTAGAAATAAATATTATTATTTATTTTTGCTATTTTTTATTTTGACTGATCACCCCAACTATTCTCTTCAATTATTCACTACAGTCAATCATCAACCCATAATTATTTTATTTTATTTACCTAGTTGTTTATATTCTAATTAATTTGATTTGGCCAAAAGTACTTTTTTTTTATGGTTATATGCAATTATGTAAACAGTAAATTATAAGAAAATAAAATAAATATCAACATTTTTGTCGAAATATCTCTTAGATGTACTACCGTAAACTATTCAGAATATACATAAGATTTCGAATGAGGTTTTTGTGTGCTAATTTTTGGATAAATTAAATTCTAAATTTAAAACAATAATTGAAGTTTTACATAAGAGCTTTTTCTTGTTAGTTTATACAAACCTTTTTATAGGTGGGGAACCTTCTTATTTATCATTAATTACACACAACCATATACATATATTCAACTTAAATATAATAATTTTCTAATTTTCATTATTTAAATACTAATTAATTCTAGCGCTAGATTAATAAATATTGCTTTAAAACATTTGGAGGCTGCTGCTTCGTCACATAGGCCAGTTGTGGCCTAGAGCCGTGGGTTCTTCTCCACCTATGCTATATACTTATTTGGAAAAACAAAACAAAATGCATTTGTAAAGATGCACATAAACGATTTTTCTTAACTAACAATGATAATTTGTTTTAACTGATAAACATTTCCTTGAAATCCTTGATTTTGTTTTATGCAATGTTGCTTGCGTCATTTCTTGCTACTCTTTTTCTGTCTGGGAGAGTTTCTAAATATTGAAATTATATTATAATTGAATTGTACCATTTCAAACACAACATCGATAATTACACTAACCTTGTAGGATATCAGGTTGCCATTGCTGTTTCTGTCCAATGATAGTTTATCAATATCAATTGAGTCGTTTATTTCCGAAGTGAATCCTAATAAATTTTTATGGAAGTCGATTTTTATGTTAAAACACCCAATGAATCTAATGTTACAATTATTTATTTTCAATAATGATCCTAAATATTCAATGAAGTGGAGTGAAAATAAATATATTTTCAAAACAATTTTTTTTTTTTTTTGGAATGTAATGAAACTTGTCTTGAGTATTCTTAAAGAAATAATCCATCAAATGCTTTTTTAACTGTTTTATACAAATAAAAATTAACTTATTGTAATCAAAAAGTTAATTTTTTATTGTAAAATTTGTATAACTTTTTCTTCACGAATCGTAAACCATTTTTTTTTTTGTTTTATTACTCCTGAAATAATTAGAGATTTATAATATATGTGCTTCTAATAAAGAATTTCTTATTTTATTATTTAAAAAATATTGGTTTGATAAAAAATTGGAATAGAAAATTTATTTTTGAGTGATGTGTTAGGTTCACTTTGGAAATAATCGGTTCATATAGTCATCTTCGAATTTTTATTTATTTTATCCCAATACCTATCGCCAATTTGAAGGGAATCGAAAGTTTTAAATCGGAATAAGTTTATACTTTCAATATCAAGAAGGCTGTTTTTATCACGCCAAAGGAATTAGGGTGTAGTAGTTTTATCGACTATTATTACATGTCAAATATGAGATAATTTGCTGTATAATATTTCCATTTTTAGAATTTTATATTGTGTATATAAATTTACGTATTCGAAGAATCGGAATGAGTCTTTAGAGGGCTGTAAATAAACGATAAGTGCAACCGATTATCTTAAAATTTATAGAATTAGCGATTATTGCGATAAAAGTTGCTTTTTTTCCCCTTTCTATAATAAATTATTTAGGCTTATAATATACTCTTGATATATATATATTTGTTTTTTGTTCAGTTTCATACTAATTTCACAAATATCCATCAATTTAAGAACTAAATTGATTAATTTGGTTTCTAAACAAAATCGGTTGAAATTTTATTTTTCTATTCAATTTTATAAAATGTAAATATTATTTAGTTAGTATCTATCATTGTTGATTGGTTTGAAGGATAATATTAGAAACAGTAAAAAAATTAGATTTATTTCTTCTGTTTAGGAAAGACTTGGGAAAGTTTACTTTTAAATAAATAAATTAAGTTATTGTATTATTTGTGAAAGACAAATTTATTATATATATTTTTTTTGTGAATTTAATAAATTTATAATTTTCCATTGGTTATTTCTAAACAATAAATTATAGTTGACCTGATAAGAAGTTAATCTTATTATAAATTAGTATCTATTCAAAATACAATTAATTAAAAAAAGCATAGTTATTAAATCAGTTCTTATGAAAGTCATACCCAAGTCAAAATAACAAAATTTATATATGTTATAATTATGTGAAATAGTTGGAAACCGACTATCGGTCTTGGAAGTTTTTTCCTCATGTTCAGTTTCTGTCTGGCTGTAAATGAACGTCCTTAAGCCAAATATTATTTGTACTTAGTGTTGTTTATATTTATTTATAATCACTTTATATTGTAGTTTATATACATATATTAATAGTTTTGACTGTTGTATAAATGAAAATTTTGTTTTCGATCTCAAAAACTTTATTAGGTCTTCAGTAATAACTTTTTGAATTGTTCTGTACATTATATTTTAAAACGCTTCATTCCAATATTAACTTAAATTTGTATATTTTATTTATTAAGCATTTTTTAAACTTTAAAAAAAAATTTAAATCTATTTATTTATTGCTAACTTAAAGTGATATCAACTACTAGTTAATGCTTGTAATTTGTTTGATTCACACTATTTTATCCTAAACTTTTTTCTTATGTATCAAAAATTTTAAAGTGAAAATATATTAACCGTATAGAAATACATCACAGTAGTATGTGGATTATCAAAGTTTGACGTGTTTAGTTGCTCAAAATAATCAAATTAACTGCAGAAAAAAATCTTTATTGCAGTGGATTAATAATTGACTGTCGTAGATATATTGAAGAGAAGTTGGTTGG